GAGATCCCAATACATGGTTTCTTTGCAGGATTCTTTTGGAGCCTCTTGTCAGTTTGTAGGAGGGTTGTAATTAAACTGTAATTAACACTAGATACTATAATCCATAAACTCACTGCACTAGGCACAGTAAACTGTGCTACATTTTGGAATGTCCGCTTTCTTTCAGGAAATATTGGGAATGTACATGGTCTCATGTACATTCAAGTAAGGAATCCAGCATCAATTCTTATCTTTGGTATTAGTAAAAAAAAAAAAATTTATAATAAATAACCAGTATTAGATGAGTATTCTAACATGTGATTTATACTTCAGTGGCTCATCTTACACATCCATTTGAGAACATCGTTCTTGAAGACATCACTACTCATCTGAATAAAGCACCAGAAGCACTCATGCGCTATCGATTCCCCAGTTTTCCTCTTACACCCACCACTCTGTTTCTTTTGTCATCAGCAACACATCGCATCTGACCTCAAGATGCAGTGCTTCTAGAGTGTTTTCTCAACCATTCCTTCAAACCCAACCTTGTATTTCATAAGGATATCTAGTCTCAGTATGCTTATATTTACCTCTTTTTATTTACCTTTTTTTTAAATGTATCTTCTCATTGAGGTAACACTGGTTTACAACACTAGCTATGATTCAGAGGTAAAGGTTCACACCTCTTCAGTTGTATGTCAGCACACCACACCCTCCACTGGGGCCCCCATAGTCTTCACCATAGCTCATAGGCCTCCATCCCTCTATGTCTCCCCACTATCACCTCCTACAATTCTACAATAGCCATCTCTTTTATGTCATCACTTCCTTCTCAACCCAGTATAAAAGAGGCAACAGTGTGCATGTGGTTGAAATCTAGGCTTCTATGGTCAGTCTGACCTGAATGTGTGATGTGGGCTAAGTTGCTTTCTATCGCTGAACCTCAGTCTCTTCAACATGAAAAGGGGGGATAAAAACAGGAGCTGAGATAGTCTGTTCAGGCATGTTAAATAAAAGTGGGCATGCAATGTATTTCTTTTTTTTTTTTTTAAAGATTTATTTATTTATTCATATAAGCACTGGGAACAGTCAGAAGTACGGGAGGGTGAGAGAATTCAGCAGAACCAGAGCAGGGAACAGAACAAGCAGATGGACAAAATACACTGCTGAGGGGAGCAGGGGGCATGGCTGGAGAGGTCTGTGCGCCATGTGGGACCCTCACAGGTGGCGGGAACCGGAGCTGCAGAGGCTGCAGGCCTGGCGCTCAACCACTGCACCACCAGGGGAGGCCCATGCAATGTATTTCTTAAAAGACCAGTCAATTGTGTGAAATGTTGCTGAGTGGTCAAAGCAGATGAAGTTGGAGAGGATCTGCAAATTTAGCAGCATAAGTATGTCAAGGTGCAATAGTGTTAGTGTTATCATGCTTGTTGATGCTTTGGTATCTATTCATCAGTCTCTGAACTCTGCATTACTCTTTCAAGTCTGAGTGAAGCGATGTGCCCTGAAATGCTGATAGTGTGCTGTTATTTGCTTACTTCAAGGCATGTCATGCTGTTACTGATCCTTGGTGCTCCTCCTTTACATCTTGACCAGAGATCTTCTGTTCCTATTAACTCTACCAGTGTCATAACCGAGACCTCCATTTGAACACCAGGAATGATCTAATGCCAAAGATACTGAGGCTCAAAAAAAAAAAAAAATGCCGTAATGTGTAATCTTCAGGACTGGAATTTAGCATCATAAAAGAATTTGGCTCAGAAAATAATGAAAATAGAAAACCAAGGTGGGGGCTTGGCAATGCTTCTCCATTTCCCCTTGAATCCAGCAATCTCCCCTTTGATGACAAAACATGCTTGGTAGTCACCCCTCGTGGTTCCTATGGTATTTTGGACCCAAGTTATCTATAATTGTCCACTTTTGAGGGACAAAACTTCATTTATAGTTTTTTCATTAATATGTGACATCGGGACTTGATTTGAAAAGCACTGTTTTGCCAAAAAGTTTAGGGACATGTGACTTAAGCTGTCACACTTAGTGACACATTCTCATATGTGTGCTACTGAAGTCTCCATAGATTTAAACTGTGAAAGAAAAAAAAAAAATAAACTGTGAAAGAGTAACAATTAAAGCTGTAATTTCCAAATCACACAGGAAAAATTTTCTCCTCCTCTTGCTCTCATTTCTCTGGTTTCCGGGCATCTCTCTCCCCTTTACCCTGCCTAAAGTTGCTTCCCCTCAATTTGTTAAACCTTCTAAGTCAAGTAGCATTTCTGTGAAACCAGTCATTCTTTCCAAATGCTAGAGATGAAACTAATCAAAGCTAAGAAATGAAATGAAACCTAAGTCTGTGCATAAAAGGCAAAGAATCTCATGCCTCTAGTACACAAAATATCAGTCTTTGAAATTTATGGGAAACTTTATATTTTATAGGACTAGAACCTAAAATAGAATTCTAAGGATTTAAATGGAGCTTCTAGGATTCTATTAGTGGTTAATTTATACTTGAAGCATCTAGGCCATTTAATTTTATAAAGTTTGAAGCCAGGAAAATGTTCTTAGCATTTATAGTTTGGGGGAAAATAAGTAAAAATGGTAATAAAAAGGAAATATTCTGTTTATGCTTTCCTTGGGACTACATATAGAGTTACGTTTTGATAGTTTGCCCAGAATTTATAAACTTTGGATGTATATATCAAAGGTGCTCCACACAGACCTCTCCCAGAGCCTGTATTACTTCAGACACCCAATTTCCCTCGACCTCAGGCAGAGGCTGAATGCCATAATTTCTTGTCTACAATGTGCACATTAAGTTAGTACAGCCAGATCCGAATCAGAAAACTTCATGCCTCCTCAACTCTTAATGCTTTCTCAAATGCCTAACAGAAATGGACATTTTAGAAGACACCACTTCAGGAGACAGTGGCTAATGATGACCTGAAATTGTCCCAGTGAAATGCGGGGTATAGTGCAATGCAAAGGAAAACCAATAAGGAAAACAAAATACAGGCAGCCATTTTTCTTCTGTTCTGTGCAATTCCTTTCAAGTTCTCACCTCCTTCTTAAACTTGAGATGCGAGTTCTGCAAAGCACAGACTTTTAAGCGCTTGGTGCTGCTGAACAAAGCAGGGATTTGTTTATACCAAGCATGTTTATGCATTCCAGCATTCTGCTTGGTTTTAAAACATGCAATGTATTTGACACATCCTAAACTTACTCTCCTTAATAAATCACGATGCCTTTAAATCCTCCAGCGGTATGAATAACAGCAAGAAGTACCAAACAAAAGACGAGGCATGAGCATAAATTGTTCTCAAGCAACCACTGTATCATATGCAAGAAAGACAATATATTATTATCTGGATATTGTTATAATAAAGAATTATTTTTTTAATTCTGGTAGTAAATATCAAATGCAAAACTGTAAAACTCGTTAACGGTGGTAGAAAACCTAGATGATCTTGAGTATGAAAATGACTGTTCAGATACACACCAAAGACGCCGTGCATGAAAGAAAAAAACTGATAAATTGGACCACGAAAATGAAAAACTTCTGCTCTGTGAAAGTTCATCATTCTAGAGAATGATGAAACAGAGAATGGGAAAAAATATACCCAAAAAACAGAGCTGATAAAGGACTCTGAGGCAGAGTATACAAAGAACTCTTAAATTCAACAGTCAGGAAAAAAAAAACCTAATTAAAAAGTAAGTCAATGAACTTATCAGACATCTAACCAAAGAAGATACACAGAAGACAAGTAAGCAGATGAGAAGATGCTCCACATCTTATGTCATCAGGAAAATGCATGACAAAACAATGAGATACCACTGCACAACTATTAAAATGGCCAGAATCTAGAATACTGAAACATGAAATCTGGTGAGGTGGTAGAGCAACAAGAATTCTCATTCATTGCTGGTAGGAATGCAAAATGGTACAGCTACTTTGGATGGTACAGCTACTTAGCTTGTCATATGATCCTGTGACTTGCTATTTATGCAATCATGTGACTTGGTATTTATGCAAAGGAATTGAAATTTTATTTCCACATAAACATCTGCATGTGGATGTTTATAGCAGCTTTATTTACAATTGCCAAAACTTGGAACTGACTAACATGTTTTTCAATAACTAAACCTCTCCAATTCAGCTTGGTCCACTTGCCTCATGGACTCCTGAGAGCATTTTTAACCTCTCAATGGTCATTCCCATATCCTTCCTGTCTCTTATTGACCCAACAGCTTAAATACATATATATATATTTTTTTCTTTCAACAGACATTCTATTTTCCCCTGCAGCATGCTGTATTGGACCTTCTTCTATTTTAGCCTTTATTTTTTTTATTCTACTATTGCACCATATTATTCCTTTGGATTTCTTTTGGAAGCAATTTTAATGGCATAGCTAATAATACTCTTATAAACTTCTGTCAAGTTTTCTTTTGCAGAAAGAAAAAGGTCATATTATGATGGGGTTTTCTATGTATGTTTAGTTTAGTTGATTTTTTTTCTTACTTAGCAATGTTCTATCCCACTCAACAAATTCAAGTCCAAAACCTATGACTGGTTTGAGAACTCTGATAGCTAGTATCCACAAAACCTTAAGGTAACTTTATATTTTGTTATTATATTCAGTTATCTAAGAAGCAGCACTTTTGTTTTATGAACTATACATAAACAGTCAACAGTCACCAAACATAAATTCTTCATGGAAATCATGGCAGAAGTAGATGTGCCTTGCAAGTTGGTACATAGAAACATCCCATCTTCATGTATTCTATTCAAATACCAGACTCAAATACTACCTTTTTGAATGGATGTTCACAGGACCCCAAATTTTAATGATTCCTGTGCATGCTAACAACTGTAATTGACAAAGTACCTCATTGCAACTCCCAGCGACCAACCAATGGTGGTGATGACATGAAAAATGGAGACATTTTAAAAGATAAACAATATCTGAAACTCAATCCAGCAGGAAAAAAATAACACAAGATTTCTTTCTTTTAATTCTTCTTACCTTTCCAAGAATATCTCTCCTCTTGTCAGATCTCACAATATGGATGGTGATTTTCAGTCAACTCCTTGCAATCCCTTTCCAGGTCACCAACTCTTCTTAAAGTTTACCCTCTGGAGTTGTGTGGCACACATTAAAGAGCCCACCTCCTGCCTAATAAAACAGAAACATTACACTTTGTGGATCTGGGTTCACCACGTGTTCACCAGGTGTTCTGAACCATCTGCTTCAGAACCTCCTGGCAGCTTGGTCAGAATTAAAATACCTGAGGCCCAACTAGCCCCACTCAATGTGAATTTCTGCTGTTGCAACATAAAAATCCACGTTTTTAACACAATTTCAGGTGATTCTTACAAATGCTAAAAGTTGGCTTACACTGTATTAGAGTAAAAAGTCAAAGTAGCCATTTCTAAACACTGTCTGCTTCAAAAGATTTACTTCTATGTGTCTCTTCTCTTTGCTTAACTACAAATGAGGCGTGATTAATAAGGACAATCACCCCCAGGGTCAAGGCCATTTCCACTTTTTGCTACTTTTTTCTATTAAGCTTAGTTGTACTGGGCCCCAAATAGGTCCCCTGCCAGTGCTCTAAATTACAAACTCACGGGTTTCCCCCAATATCTGAAAGTTGAGAGTTCCTTTAAACCCTTCCTAAGTCAGAGTGGCACAAAGCAAAGAAGCCGATACCATGAATTCATATGGAAAAACTTTTGAGCATTCCCAAACCAAAAATAACCTACCCGATCAAAGCAAGTAACACACACACACAAATAATAAAATAAAATAAAATAAAATAAAATAAAATAAAATAAAATAAAATAAAATAAAATAAAATAACAGTCCCATCTAGTAAAGGCAGGAATCATATGCTAATACACACGTGGGAAAAGCAGGCGCGGCGCTGCCAGAAACCCGCGTGGCGTTGCTGTCGCAAATCCACGGGGTCGCGCGGTGCTTTCCGGCCCCTGTCGCAAAAGCAGCCTCTTCGGGGTTCTTTCTGAGGGAAAGCAGAGCGGCTTGGCGTGACCTTTGGAAAAGCGAGGAGACCTGTCTCCTTACTAAACGGGGGACACAGACTTATCTAGCAAGACTTATTTCAGGTGAGTGTAAAGTGGCTTCCCCCAAACAACATATGGGGCTCGAGGGTCCCCGTCAGCTAGGTGAAGGGGAGCGCCTAGAAGAAATTTCACTCAGGGTGTTTCTTCCGGGTTCCTCACCTCTGAGGAATTCCTCTCCTCTGGTCCTGAAGAACAATAGCTACATCCACCACGCCGGCTATTGTTTCTCTTCCTGGGTTTTTCCATGGCCACAGTCACGGCTAAGCACGTTGTAGTCCTTTCCAGGCTCCAGAGACTTGCCGAATGGTGTTACTGATCAGACTGGAGACTCCCTGGTGCCGCAAGGGGTAAGATTCAGTACTATCATGCTGTCGCCAGCCACTACACTATGAGTTCAATCCCCGGCCAGGGAGCTGACCCACATGGCGCACCAGACCTCACCTGGCTACCCCCCACCCCCCCACCTCCGCTGCTCCCCTCAGCAGTGTGTTTCAGTCAGTCCACCTGCTCTGCTCCCCACTCGGTTTCTGGTGAATCCACACACCTCTCCTCACCTCTGGCCTGCACCTCAGCTCTTGTATGCATAAATAAATCTTAAAAAAAAAAAAAAAAATCTGACTGATTTTCATCACAAAACAGACTGCCCTGTCAAGAGATTTGGAGTTTTTCCTGGGTCCTGAGCTATCTGTTAAGTGGGCCCATACACACGCGCAGCCAAAGCCAAATTTGGAAAGCATTCTCCTGTATAGCAGAATCCTCGGTAGTTCTGGTTTTGTTTTTATCTTGTTTTGTCTTAAATTCTAATGTATTCCTGGAGTGTGGGCTGCATTTTCTTGCAATGAGTTTCCCCTCCTATTTAATGTTTGCTGTTTCTGGTCTTTTTTTTTTTTTTTTTTTTTTTAAGATTTATTTATGCATGCATGCAAGAGCTGGGGCACAGGCCAGAGATGGGGGGAGGGGGGTGAGAGGATCCACCAGAGACAGAGAAGAGAACAGAACAGGCAGGCTGACCAAAATACACTGCTGAGGGGAGCAGTGGGTGAGACAGGAGAGGTCTGCTGCGCCATGTGGGTTGCTCCCTGGCTGGCTGGGGATCGAACTGGTGCTGCATAGGCTGTGGACTGCCTCATAGTGTGGTGTTCAACCCCTTGTGCCACCAGGGAGGCCCTGCTGTTTCTCCTTGAAGCTTTAAATTTGCTTTTCAAAGCCCAGTGGATTTCTGCAAAACAAATAAAATTATCACAAAATTCAAGACTATATTTAGCCTCATCCCACATCTTTGGCTCTGAGGAGCACATGATACGAGAAAGTGAACTATACAGTGGGCTTCCTAACACCTAATTTCTAGTAGTGAAGCAGGAGGCACCACACTCAGCCAGATTGACCAGGGCCACCCAACATTGTAGGGGAACCTGCCTGTGCAGCCCAGCAGAAGGAGCCCTCCTTGATCCCACAACTTAGGAGCCTGTTATATACGCCCACACTATATTATATATATTATATGTTTATAATTATACTCTTATGTAATTACTTATATATATATCATGTATGCCCTGTCCTCCACTTCGACACCTGCACACATCAGCTGTACTGTGAGAACATTTCATAAATGACGTGTTCCATACAAATCAATTCAGATTTTCTTTGCTTTTGATAATCTCAATTCATAGACCAGAAAATAAACACATACCATTTTTTCATTATATTTCCTCTCTAAAACTGCCACTGTATTTCCTGACATTTCCATTCAATCTCTAGGCTCAATCAATAGATATGGATGTGTTTTAAATCCCTGAGTCACCTAATACTGAAGTCTCTGACAGGTGTCTGCTAAGAAGCATATAATCCATTTAGTGAAGGCCTATAATACTTGTTTTGTTTTCACAGATGGTGTTGAATTATTAAAGTGGAAATAGGCCAATAAGTTTTTTAGAGTACCTTTCTGTTGAAGCTGGACTTTGTCATATTTAAAGCTATGATCATTTAACTTTGTTAAAATCTTCTCAGAGTCCAATCTGACAAATTCATTGTTTTCTGTATTGTCTAAGTTTCAGTTCTCTTGGTATTCACCCTGCATCATTCAAAATAATTCAGGAAGGAAATCATTCCACTTCAATGTACTTAGTTTGTAGCAATATCTCCCCCCAACCCCCACAGAAGGCATACAGTGGACACCAGTGGATTGAAACAGAGTTAGAAAAAACAAATAATGGTAAATCTACTACTGACTACTACTGACTACTACTACTACTGCTACTACTACTACTACTACTACTATTACTACTACTACTACTACTACTATCACCACCACTACCACCACTACTACTGGGTGAGTCATTAAATTTCTTTTTATCTCAGTTTAGTCATCTGTTAAATAAGATAATAAACCTAATCAAAGTACTATGTTTTTAAGGGCAAACAAGTGCTAAAAGTAGTTCATGATTTGTTTGTTGAGAAGTAATGTGAATCCAAAGTATTATCATTATTTACCTTAGTATATACAATATCTACAATTCATCTTTTAGTTAACAAGAGTGATGGTGCTTGGGCCTCCCCAGTGGCGCAAGGGGTTAAGACGCAACCTATGAAGCTATCCGCAGCCACTGAAGCACAAGTTCAATCCCCGGCCAGGGAGATACCCCCATGGCACAGCAGACCTCTCCTGACTCACCCCTCAGCAGTGTATTTCAGTTGATCTGCCTGTTCAGTTCCCCACTCTGTCTCTGGTGTATCCTCTCACCCCCCACACCTCTGGCCTGTACCCCCGTTCTTGTATGTATAAATAAATAAATCTTTTAAAAAAAAGAAGAGTGATGGTGCTATAGAATAGTAAGATTTAGAGCTAAACAGTGAATTTAGTTCTTTCATTTATCTCTGATATTGGGCAAATTATACTTGCATTTCTTTCGCTGCCTAGCTGAACTACGTTGGTATATCTGGAGAATTCCCTGTCATGGACCTTGTGTTGAGCTGTCTGCCATTGTGGAACCTGAAAAGGCCAAAAACTCTCTAGCCTCTCTGTCTCCCACTCCAAGAACCTAGGTGCTGGCACAGAACCGAGGGTTCTTAGGTAGATGTTTCCATCTGAGACTCTCAACTTGGTTTGACTGCAACAGGCAGGAGAATGGGATTCATTTGGTCACTAGGGATTGCAAATGGTGCAGCTATGTTGGTGGGTATAGGGATTCCAGGAGATTTTCATTTGTCTAGTCCTACTGTATTAGTCAAGATACTGATAATTGAGGGGGGTGGACAAGTGGGCTGATTCTGCTGCTTGTGAATGGTATCTATTTCAACTTTATAGTAAGGGACTGGGAAAATTCAGAAGATGAATTTAGGGTATGATAATTCATATCAGGATTCAATTTATCACCTGGCTCCTCTTTGAAAGAGGGTTCTTTTTCAAACAAATGGACTCATTGGTGTTCTAGGTTTTCAGCCATTACTTTTAGCACAGACTTGGTGACAATTAAGTCCAAAAATATCTCTGCATTTTTAAGCTGCCCTCATATACCGGGAAGTGCTTACTCTAAGGACATAATCTATTGTCCATCTCAAGTTAGCTAGCCTCCCCTTAGGCAACACTAGATCTGTAAAAGCTAGCTATCAGGTTACAGTAATTTTCCTCTCATCATGAGAATCTTCTCCAGACAAACCAACTAATCAGAACCTACTTCGAATGCACCCTGAGGAAAAGTAAATGTTTCTAATGTGCCGCAGCTTAATTGTCTTGAAAAGATGAAAATCGCAAGCATATGCAAATACTAAATAAATGAAACTTAATTAGAAGATACTAAATCTGTCTTTTTTTATTACAAGAAATTCACTAGGAGGCAGAAGTTGCATCAGGCCCATTTTAGAGTTGGAGGACTTGACAGGCAAGCAGTGAATGGGAGCCTAGAATTCGAAACTTGAGCTCTTTAAAGCACACCAAATTAGAAATTTCTTCCATGTTAGGATACTTAGTATATATGTGGTTTCAGAATGAATTCTACTCCTTTCAAAAATACATGTTTTAAAAGGAAAATATTTAACATAAATAATACAACATGCAAAATATACTATACTTGCATACTTCACTCATGTTATGATGAAATACGGTCTTAGAGAGCTAAGCCTGGACCCTATCATGAAGAGCCTCATAAGGAATTTTAATTTCATCCTGAGGAGGTATGAAAGGTCTGTAATCAAGGACATGACATGAAAAGTCATGTGTTTTAGGAATGTGACAGGATAGGGGTGTGACATGATCCTTTCTTTCTAGAGTGAACCCATGCCACAGCAGAAATAGGAGGGACTTGCGAATCTTAGTTAGTAGAGTCCCGTGAATGTGTCAGAAGTAAGATCAAGCAAGAAATGTACACCTGAAACCAAAAATGTTTCAGGTAGCTAGAGAGTGTATTACAACCAATACTGATGATGTAAAAACCAGAAGATCCATAAGGGAAGAAGAAAAATCATGCAGAGAAGGCCACAAAGGAAGGACAAAAATTCAAGAGAAGAATGAAAGTGCAATACCATGAAAAATTAACAGAGATGTTTTCTGCTATCAGCATTAAGGGAAATTCACTAGGTATCCACTGGTTACCTCAGGGAGAATAATTTCATTAGTGACTCACTCCACAATTCTGGGTTTTTTGTCAGGTCAGTTGGTAAACTCCTCTTTAGAAGCTGGCTATTCGGTCCTGTTGTGGGACTTAACCTGCCTAATGGGCTGAATGCTGAGGGTTATGAGATGGTCTTGATTTCTTGAAAGCAGTAGTGGTGATTTACATAAGACTACAAACAAAACAAAACAAAAGTTTTATGAGGAACTTGAGAGTAATTGATTTTAGTAATACTGGTAGCTTTTAATAAAATGTTTATTTCCCTAATTGCATACCTGCAGTAGTGCTAACATTACATCATATTCTAACGCAGTATGTTTCAAATGAGAAACTAAAATGCAAAATGTGACTTATGGGAATATGTGCAATTGCAGCAATAAGTTCTTAAGGGTATGATTGGTGATGTGTCACACTCTCTTCACTGTTGTGACAAATCTCTTCCCAATGCCATCAAGCCAGACTTTGAATTTGGTTAATGATTATTTTCAATATCTAAAATTCAACTTGAGTTATTTCCAATATCCTTTGATTCCAGTACTTGGTGTTATTTTTCCCCACTGTAGTTTTTTAAATAATCTTAAGGATAAAGTGGAATGGAAATGAGTCATTTGTTCTTGCTGTAACAATTGGCCAGTTTAGGGCCTCCCTGGTGGCGCAGCAGTTGAGCGCTGAGTTGTGAAGCTGCCCGCAGCCTCTGCAGCGCCGGTTCGATCCCTGGCCACCAGGTGAGGGTCCCACATGGCGCTCAGACCTCTCCTGACTTGCCCACTGCTCCCCTCAGCAGTGTACTTTGGTCCTGCTGCCTGTTCTGCTCCCTGCTCTGGCTCTGGTGAATTCTCTCACCCTTCTGCACTTCTGACTGTACCCAGTGCTTGTATAAATAAATAAATCTTACCAAAAAAACTTTTAAAAAAAAATTGGCCAGTTTAAAATAGGAAGTGCCAGCCCAAATTGTTATTAGGAGAATTGCATTATAGAGATACACTCATAGATTAAATTCAGATTTGCAGATTTTTGGTACTATTGGGTTCTAGGGTGGGTTCATATGTTTGTAATTAGCAGTTCAGCCATTTAATATGTAATCAATTAATCATACGCCAATTATTTCTTAAGCATCTACTGTATACTGATTATATTCCATGTGTAAGAGTAAATTTAGCAAAAATACCAAATCTTATTGTCATTGAATATCCTAATGATGCTTTATATAAAAGTCTATTCCCTGAAATAAGGAAAAATCACTATGCATGATATTTTGCCTCTTTTGAAAAGAAGGTGTGTATTTTGAAAACTTTAAAGGTTAATTTGTGATGTGGTTTTTGCTCTTGTTACTGAATACAATTGAAATATTTATCCACTCTCAGGTACACAAAAAACAAAAGAAATAATACTTCTCCCTTGAAGGCAAAGAAAAGGGGTCTGTAACATAGTTTAGTTTACTGTTCATGACAGAGAGTTCCAATAAAAGAACAGGAATATTTTTAAGGAGCATTCTAAGGAAATTATAATTTCAAATTTGGAATAGTCAGCCAAACACCTGATTCTCCAGTCACCTGCATATCTGAAGATTCAATGATCTCCAGATGTGTCTTAATTATACCAATAAAGTGAGATGACGCACATGTCAACTCATGTTTTACAGCTTTCATAATGCACTCCTCATGCCTTTGTTCTGCTTACATCTTTTGAGGAATAGTTCATTGTTTTGCATATTCATGAATGGTGTTGTATGAAGACATGACAGAAGTGAGGGATTTTTACAATGCTTTATTTTATTCACAAAATATCACTTATTAACTCAAAAGACATGCATAACCATAGGTGCATAATCCGCTGCACTTTTCTGCTTTAAACTCCACAGGTATTTCATTCATTTCCCATAATTTCATGACTGTTGCAAGCCAGGTTATATATTTTATTGTGACTTGCTGCCGAAAAGTTTTCATACCTTTATGTAGGCCTATTCTACTAGTATGTAGATAAAATTATCTAGTTTATGTTATTATTTTTCTTATACTGATGAAATTTAGGAGCTTCTTTTAAATTAGAATGTATTTTGACATTTTCAATGGATTCTGTACACACTTAAGTTCTTTTTCTTCACGGTTTACTCACAATATATTACTGAGTAAGCTGAGGAAAACTGATCTCCTTTACTATGTTTTATGATTTTTTGCATTTTAAAATTTAATATTGAATGTATTCCTTTTTGTAGGAATCTGCTTATTATTTATATGTGGAACTATGTCTTCTTTGTCTTGCTATCTTGCTGCTGAACCACACTCACCACTTGGCTTCCACTTCATGGTCCAATATGGCAGTTTAAGTGTCAGTATCTTATCTACACTTGGGTCAATGAAAAAGAACCCCAAAGGGAATGGGTTAAATTCAAGAGGGGGAAACGTATACTAAAGGACAATTTGCAATCTCTGCTGTAGAATGATCAACCAAAATTACCTAATTATCTTAAGCTTATTCTAATTTAATGAATAAATCAGTGGATAATTCAGTAATCATTATTTAATCCCTACCCTATTTAAAGCACCACATCAGGTTCCAGGAATATAATAGTGCATAAAATAAACAAATATCCCTGCCCCCATAGAGCTGTCATGTATGCTTACTATTAAACAATGTTTTTAAATAAATGCAGTCATTTAACTATCAAATATAATTGTACTCTTTAGCCTCTTCTGAGAATTCTTCATGAATATAGTTTTCCCAGAAATATACTTTAAGCCAGAACAATTCAAAGTACATTTTACATCTTTCTTATATTCTAAATTTTTCCAGGGCTCTCTTTCCACTTAGAAATACTTTATATTATAAATGTCTCTACTTACATCTAAATTGTTTAATAAAACAATTGGCACAAGTAACAGAATGCTCTGTAGTTTTACCATTATAAAAATGAGTATTAGTAATTATCATAATTCATTGTTGCATCTTTCAGTTTAATGGTTTGAAATAAGTTGGATTATCTTATTGGGTTCTTCTTTTTCACTGGCTAGAATGTAGATAAGACATGGAAGCATAGTCAGCCATGTTGGATCATGAGGAGGAAGCCGCCTGATAACTAGGACGCAGCAGTAAGATAGATAGAAGGCATTTGGACCCCTAAAGATCATGGGGCCATCATAAGAGCCCTTCGTAGTCACATTCAGATTCTGTTTACTGAGAGAGAAAAT